TGAGGAATAAGATTAAGTAACCAATTTTGCTGACTTTTTGTCTTCTCGGTCAAACGATACATTCGTGCTGCAACCATTTAATTGCAGTGGCTCTCATCATCATCATCATCATTACAGCCCTTCACAATTCCACTGCTGAACATAGACCTCCCCTAAGTAATGCCACAAATCACGGTTCTGAGCCACCTGCATCCATCGACTTCCTGCATATCTTACCAGATCGTCACTCCATCTAGTGGGGGTTCGCCCTACACTACGCCTACCGGTACGAGGCTGCCACTCGAGAACTTTTCTTCCCCATCGGTTATCAGTTCTTCGAGCTACATGGCCGGCCCATTGCCACTTCAGCTTACTAATCTGTTGGGCAATGTCGGTCACTCTGGTTCTACTTCGGATATGCTCATTTCCGAGTTTATCACGCTGAGATACTCTGAGCATAGCCCTCTCCATAGCTCGCTGAGCGTCCTTGATCGTCCTCATACGGCCAGCAGTGAAGGACCACGTCTCAGATCCGTAAGTCATCACTGGCAACACGCACTGGTTGTACAATCTAGTTTTCAGAGTTTGGGGTATGCCTGACGAGAAGATGTGTCGTAATTTCCCGAATGCTGCGCAGCCGAGTTAAATCCGTCGATTGATCTCTCGGTCGAAGTTGGACTTACCTAGTTGGACTATTTGTCCCAGGTAAACGTACTCGTCAACAAATTCGAGCATAGTGCTCCCAACAACTACCGGCATAGGTGTGACATGGACATTAAACACGATCTTTGTTTTGTCCATGTTGATACACCATTGAGGTCATTGAGCATAGTGCTTAGGTCCTCCAGCGATTCTGCCATAAGGACTATATCGTCGGCAATTCGAAGGTGAGTGATGTACTTGCCATTGATATTAATACCGTATTCTTTCCAGTCCAGTAGCTTGAAAACGTCTTCCAATGCATCGGTGAAGAGTTTCGGGGATATAACGTCACCCTGTCTTACACTTCTCTGCAGGCAGTGAATCTATCACGTTAAAATACAACGATATCACAGGTATACAGTGCAATGACGGTGTAAGAATCGTCATATCGTCCCAGGGGTGTCGAAAATCCCCGTCTCATGGGGGTTGAAAATCCACCAACCAAACTTGGTTATTATTTCAAAATCTACCTGTGTGGCAATAAATGTGAGAGGTTTATGCTGTGGATTTTTATACGCTGCAATGGAAGTATACCACTACTTGGAGTAGAATGATTAGATCTTTTAAATAAGTTAAAAAATATTTTATTGGTGTAAGGTAACTAACATCAATGTCATCCACTGCTCTAACAAACGGCTGAGAAGGGCGATGGCTGCCACAAACTTCACGCTAATGTAATGCATCCTCTTACGCGTTTCACGTTACTATTTTACTCGGTGTATAATACAGAGCCTCGTAGCTTTTAGCAGGCTTCACTTAAAAGGAAGTTATCACACAAAGAAATGTTCTAACCCCATTAACGTATTTTCGGTAATTAAATTTTATACTAATTGTGATTTAAAACAAACCAAAACGTTGAATAAACACAATACGCCCACTTTCCCCACTTTTCTTTCCCACTTTAACCCGCGATTTATCAAATTCACAGAGAACAACTTTTCGACTCGGTATACGAGTGCATTAACTTTACTTCCACGAACATTTCTATTGTTTTTAAATTTCCACGCCATAAAATCTTCAAACTTTTAAGCGAAATGAAATGTGAATAAGAATAAAAAAGTAATAATGTCAATTATTTATTGTTCAAAGCTTGAAATTAGCGCACAACTTTACCTGAAATATTGTGGTTGTTTTTAAGAATATGAACTTAATATTATTACCAGTAAATTATTTAAGGAAAAATTGCTTTAGCCAACCGCTGTGCATGCGAGGTAACCAACTAGTCAGTTGAGGTTCTTTTATTTATGAGAAGTTTGGGAAGCAGAGACTAGCCCAGGTGCTTAAACTATTTGAAAGTAACATAAAACATAACATGTTCAACTCCCATCCTTCTTATCCAGAGCAGAAGCTGAGTATTAGCTGACTGCTGACTTCCATATGGCATGATCCCGACTACTTACCTCTCTGGCTTCTTTCACACCTATATCTAAAGTTAAAGTAAAGTTACAGCCTATATACGTCCCACAGCTGTGCACAGGCCTCCCCTCATTTCTGAGAGGGTTTTAGGGCAAGGAAGTGTCTGCCGTGCTGTCCCAATGCGTGTTGACGAACTTCACATGTCTTCGAAATATTTTTTTTCTTATTCCTCAGACATGCAGGTTTCCTCACGTGGTTTTACTTTACCGCCGAGCACGTGATAAATCAACGCTTAAAATTGCAATTAAACAATTTCATTGGTGCCAGTGGGGATCGAACCCTGGTTACTCGCGTTCTGTTATATTTACAGCGAGCGTTAACCATCTGAGCTACCACGGTGCCACGCATCTATATCTATGCCTGGGCATATATAAATTCATCCTGACTAAATTTCGGTCACGGTGGCCATTCTCAACGGAGACTATGATCTGAGCAGGACAGAATTATGGTGCCCGAGTGCATGCGTAAGGACAAGTGCACTCTCTAGACCGTCGAGGCAGACGTACGCAGATCAGCGACCGGGACTATCATCAACGTCTTGTACTCCGACAATCATCCGCCTGCCAAGCGTGGCGAACAGGCAAATTCTCCCCAACAGGAAAGGCACGTTTGCGAGCTGATTAAGAAGAAAAAGAAGAAGGTACGAAATTACGAATAAAAAGATATGAATGAATCGGTTGCAACGTTTTATAAGATTTACATTCTACGAGCTCATTTTTATACGTGGTAGAGCCATGCTGCAGTTATATTAGTAGTATAGTTGTAGCACGAATGGGCCGATGTGTCGACCTTGGAAGGACCATGCTCTCAAAGAATACCAGCGTGAAATAGCGTGAAATTAATGCTGCTATAAGTGGTGTAGAGAACCGGAAACCATTTTGAATGGAAAAAAGGTATTCCATCTTAGTCCTCACGGGTGATAACGCGTCTGCATTTTGATTTGTAATCAAGGATAGATTAGAAATCAAAGTCTATGGGCCGTAGCAGCCACTTACCATTAGGTGGAGTTTGTGCTCGTTTGTCACCCTATCCTATAAAAAAAGTTATCAATGTATTGTTTAAATGTGAAATCTGCTCATTAGCTTCAATTAACTGTAATTGCAATGCAGCAATTAATCTGAGGGCTATCTCATCTTCTTTGCTGCATCAGTCAAACTCATCGACTGTCCCCTGGTGCTAACCCCTTTCCTTTAAAACATCTAAATAGTATCTATGAAACTTAAACGTATCACTTTTCAACTGTGTATTTTTCGAAATTATAATTATTAGTTCTTTTTTAATTGTCATCCCTTTCTTTAAGTAACAACTCACACTGTTCCCTGGACGCCTTGAGTTCTTGGAGCGGAAGATGAAGTTGGTTTTCCCTCTGGCGCATTTGGCGTAAAAGAAAACAAAGATGGACAATCAAGGGAGTAAAGTAAGCAAATATCTAATTGTAAGACTTTGAGTACAGACCTCAAATTAAATAATCAAGTAAACAATTCAAAATGAAATCCGAAAACAACTACAAGACTTAACACATATCGTAAATATTAAAAGGGATAACAAGAATTACAGTAACTTTTAAACAATGTTCGTAACCTGCTGTTACTTTAAGTTGAGACAGTAAAAATTGGTATCGTAAGTATTCGATAAGAAGACTTACGAATTATTAGTCGGCCGCACTGCTAGAGTATGTGTTGGCAGACTTGACAGGTTTTTTTATTCATTCATCACAGTCTGTCAAAGATGACTGCTGAATATAGCCACCCCACATAGATTTCCTCACAAGGGAGCATTTGCCATAGTTGTTACGCTTTGTTACGCAACCCGTCTGTAATGTATATATACTATAAATACATACATAGTATAAATACATGTCATAAATAGTCGTTTAGAAATCGTTATCATAATTATTAAAATATATTTTTATATTAATAAGCCCGGGATGAAACACTATATCATACACGTAGGCTATTTCATTTAAACCTGAACAAAACGACGCACCGAAATATATGTATAAAGTCCAAAAAAGAAAAGGGCAATGCACTGACAGATTTTTTACGTGTTAGAGCCATGCTGCAGTTATATTAGTAGTATAGTTGTAGCACGAATGGGTCGGCTCGACCGGGGAAGGACCACGCTCTCACAGAATACCAGCGTGAAATAGTAGCTTAATGCTGCTGTATTTCGTATGGTGAGTGTAGAGAACCGGAAACCCTTGTTACTGGAAATGAGGCATTCCATCTCAGTCCTCGCGGGTGACAACGCATCTGCATTTTGATTTGTAATGGAAGATAGATGTAGATGTCTATGGGCCGCAGCAACCACTTACCATCAGGTGGACTGTGTGCTCGTTTGTCACCCTATTCTTAACAACTAGTTACGCTTTGTTACGCAACCCGTCTGGGTTGGCATTTGCCATTTGACAACCGTATTTTTTACATTCTAATTGGAAGACGCTGCTGACTATCTCCAGGTTTGTTTACATCCGTTGTCTCTTACGACCAGTGTTTCCACTTTTAGGGATTTTTCCCTTTTTTAGGGAAAACTAAGTGAAATTGTACATGACTAGGGATTATTTTAATAAGACAGGGATTTAGGGAAATTCGGGGAAAATCAAAACTTATGATGGTAACCCTGTTGTAGTATGTACAAACTCTATGGTGCCACCGCCCGCGGTTTATTTTTGAAAGGGGAATCCCCCGTACTATTAATGAATGTAATCCGTCCAATTTTAATTTGTCATTTATAATATCAGTTCCGTTGTTTTAGATGTAGTCGGAACTTAGTCATATTATGTATACCTACCAAGGCTTGCTTGATTTGATTAGTTTTGTTTCATTTACATACTGAACTCCGAATTGCACCTTGGAATATAAAAAAAAAATTTTTCTTTTCGATTAAATTGTAAGTAATTTAAAATGGAAGAAGATAATGAAACACCATCCTCTTCGACTTTAAAGTCAGCAAGTAAGGAAAGAAAATACGTGCAAAAATTTAAAACTTCTTGGCTGGAGCATCCTGATTTTAAGACTTGGCTGAAGAAATCTGATAAAGGTGAGCCAAAAGCTTACTGTAAAATATGCGATTGTGATCTTGTATGTGGAATGTCCGAATTACTTAAACATAAAAACAGTGCTAAACACACCAAAAAAGATGGCTGTTATTTCGCAATGTGGAAGAATGTCAACTTTTTTGAACAAAAATCAGACGCACGCTACTAATGTATTAAAAATGGAATTAAAAATGTGCGGCTTTCTTGCGAAACATGATCTACCAATTTCTTTAGTCGATGATTTTGTATCGCTGTTGCGAAACTTGTTTCCGGAATCGAAATGTTTAGATGACGTGCATCTAGGAAAACAAAAAGCAACAAATATTTTACGTCAAGTCACAGGAGCGACATATAAACAAGAAGTGATTGATATCATGAAGAATAGCTATTTTAATATAATAATAGATGAAACAACAGATCTGTCTGTGAAAAAACAGTTGGCTATTATTATAACATTTTTTAATAGTTTGACAAAAAAAGTAGAATACAGATTTTTTGATTTGATAGATATGATTGATGGAACGGCAAAAGGTATCCTCCAAACAATAAAAGGAAGTTTTTCAAAACATGAAGTACCTCTTGATCATGTCTTCGGACTTACATCAGATACGACGAACGTAATGATGGGAAAGCACAATTCAGTTCAGGCTTTACTAAAAACCGAAATTCCACATCTGGTCGTTATAGAGTGCTCATGCCATTTAATACATCTCGCCACATCATATGCCTCCCGTAAACTACCTAAAAATTTAGAAGATTTGTGCCGTAATATACCTGCATATTTTCATATGAGCCCTAAGCGAACAGAAGCACTCAAACAGTTTCAGGATTTTCTAAAAATTGACCAACATAAATTACTTTCTGCAGCAAATACAAGATGGTTGTCACTTCAAGCTTGTGTCGACAGGATATTAGAGCAGTATGATGCATTGAAATTATTTTTTACGGGGGGCAGTTTTTGAGGATCCCTCTAATACAAATGATTCCATCTTGAACAGTCTTAACAACCCATTTAATAAAGCTTTATTACACTTCATGAGTTACGTCTTCTCTATAACTAACGATTTTAATACATTTTTTCAAACAAAATCACCACAATTATTTATACTGCCAGTGATGGTTCGGAAAATGTTGAACACTTTTTTGTGCAACTTTGTCAAAAAAGGAGCACCTGAATCTGAGCTCGGATCTAAAGAGCCTTAAGCAAATTGACGTCACTAAAACAGAAATTCACCTCAATAATGATCATATATACGTTGGTATGGAAGCACATGCGATACTTGAAGATTTAAAGACAAAAGCCCCAATAGAAGAAGTGAACAAATTTTATGCTAGTTGTCGTGAATTTTATGTGGAAATAGTATTGCAAATCCAAAAGCGGTTCGACTTGAATGAGAAACTTTTCGACATATTGAAGTATGTGGATCCAAAAATAGCAAGAAATCTGGAGAAACAATCAGTGAAAGATGTTTTTGATAAATTTAACTTTTTAACGACAAAATGCAACATGCAAAAAGCAGATAACGAATGGAGAAATCAAGCTCTTATAGACTTAAAGCATTTTGGAGTTGAAAGCGAAGAAGAATTAAAAAACATGCCAGCTGACATTTATTGGAATAAGGTTCTAAGCATGAAAGATTATCATGGTAATTTCATTTACGAAAATCTTGAAGTAGTTATTTCAGTTTTACTAGCAGTTCCATCTTCAAATACTGAGGTAGAAAGATTATTTAGTATTCTAAAAAATGTAAAAACAGATAAAAGAAATAGACTTTCTAACGAAACTCTGAACGGCTTGTTTCACACAAAGTTCGGAATGCAAGCAAACAATTGCTCAATTTTAGAACCCAACAGTGCCATGATAAGTGCAGCAAAATATTACAAAAGTAATGATTCAGCTTCTAAATCTTCTGTCTGATCTGGTTTTTGGTGATTGATCTTTTGTTGATTTATTAATAAATATTCAAAATAATAAATTATTGTATAATTTCTCGAATAAAAATATGCTCCTTAAAAATAGGAATTTTTAAGATCGTTTAGGGAATTTTAGGGATAAATCCTAAAAAAAATAGGGACAAACCAAAATTGTAAGTGGAAACTCTGCTTACGACACTCACTAGACGACTCATGTAGTGGATATTCGTACACCGCCATTGCACAGTTATACTATAAATTTTTTTTAAATAATCCAGATAGTCCGCTTTGGCGGCATATTTTAAAACGATGAGAAATTGATTAAAAGTTGCTGCTGACCTATATACTCAATTTTATATTTCGTACGCCACCCTCGAATGTGTACAGTAGACGTATATGTTTAAATATTAAAGGATTACTCTAAATTCCACTCTACTACCACAGATACCTGAAACTTTCTAACACGTACTGCATCCGATATTACCTCAGACGTGCTTTCATTCTTGGAATAAAAAGTCGGATGAAACACCTTTGATCACGTACCATATCCTTTTTTAAGGAAACAAAAGTCAAAAGTAAATTTAAATTTTTTGTTGTTGTTTGTAAGTGGTAATTATTTAAAATACATGTCATAAATAGTCGTTTAGAAATCGTTATCATAATTATTAAAATATATTTTTATATTAATAAGCCCAGGATGAAACACTATATCATACACTTAGGCTATTTCATTTAAACCTGAACAAAACGATGCACTGGCAAATATGTATCAAGTCCACAAAAAGAAAAGGGCAATGTACTGACAGTACGTAGTGTTTATTTACGTAAATTATTTCGAACTCTTTTTGAACTCCCATTATTCAAAAACGAAACAAAATTTACTATTATTCATGTATATTAATCATAATAAACAGGCCTCCTATGATTCTAGATATCGACGGTGTGTTTATCAAGTGTGCAAAACTGTAAATTTTGTAGACTATTTTACCGGAGACCCTTTTTACTGAAAACGAGGCATTCCATCTTAATTGAAAATAAATGTACAAGTCTATTGGGTCACAGCGTCCACTTACCATCCGGTGGATTGTGTGCTCGTTTATCACCCTTATTGAATAAAAAAGTTTGCTCAATACAAGATCGTTGTAGAAAGAATATAATCATCAGCTGACGCAGCTGACCGAACTGACCTACTGTGTGCTCCACTTGGTTAATTTGAATTTTAGTTTTATAACTTTTTGTACATCCTAGAGAAACACTGCAGCTATATTTTACGTGATAGAGACACACTACGGCTGTGTTATTGCTGCACGAATTGGTCAGCTTGACCGGGAAAGAAGCACGCTCGAACAAAATACCAGCGTTAAATATAATACACAATGCTGCTGCAATCAATATACATTACGTTGCAATCTTCGGCTAAGGCTTTAGAAAAGCGTAAAATTGGAGTTAAATTCTGAAATATATGTTAACAGATACACAGATAAAACAAATCTTACGCTACGAACACGCTTCGTGCGTGTGTGTGCACACCAATGAAGTGTCTTCTCTTTTATATGTTCTCTACCTCGAATAGATCACATTCTTCTTGACCTATTCCTAATTATTCTTTGACTTGTCGATACGATAAATGTAGTGTAAAGTGCAAAAGATTGATGAATTTGAATGATGCAACAGAAGAATTCTGATTTTGGTTATGTTGAAAAACATCTATTTTTGAAATAGGTATATTTTGAATTAATATCTATGACATCTAGGTTTACGTTATCAATACTTTAACCAAAATAATACAGAACTGCCTTATGAGTGAATCTAAGTTATCTGTCGTATCGCTATCGAGTAACTTTGTTTAAAACATGATTCTATGTATATCCGCCAGAAGCGCTGAGCTACTATACTGTATATTTTACTTGATAATGTACCATATATTTTATTTGATAACGTACAAAACGTTAGTGTCAAAAACTTTGCTAAGAGTTATGTAAGTAAAAACGAAGCTTAGAAATATTGCATCTCTTCGGTCTAAAAATGGTCTAAAATTGTCTGAGATATTGTAATTAGATACTTTTCTGCCAGTAGTCAAGTGCCGGTAGATTTGTGAAATTTTATATTTTTAAATCTTACATCCTCGAGGTACAACGATAATTGGTAATTAAAGCCGTAAAATAAAGTATATGAATACACCCAGCGAGGTAGCGCAGTTTCCTTGCTCTAAAACTCTCTCAGAAATGAAAGTAGACCTGTGCCCAGCATTGGCACGTGCTCGTATATAGGCTGTTCTTTAAAGGAAAACTTACACTATTTCATCACGTTGTTTCTGATTACACTTTAATAGTAATAGAAACACTAATTTTATATCAAGTTTACCACCAACTCTATTTCTAGAGTAAGTGATAGGCATCAAAATAAATTATTGAAATAACAAAACAAAAACAGAAATCATACATCATGAATTAATATGTCATCTCTGCACTTAATTGCTTGCTATGTATATGTATTCGATACCAATTAGCGAGATAGAAATCGACATAAATGCGTAAAAGCAAATGTGTCTTAACAACATGCATGGCTGTGAATAATATAGCAATAAAATAAATTAAACAATATAGCAATAAATTAATTTAAATTAAATTTATGCCGTGTAGTGGCGGCATTGGCTTCCATTACGTTTCCCGTTATCGTAAATGGCGACTATGGGAAATTTCATAAAAATCCTATTGCCTCTAATGAAGGGTGGTATAACCATCTGATATATGCCAGACGTAAAATACCCATACCGGCGACGGAGAACGGCATCAAAGCTGCAAAACGTCTGGTACCTACTACGATCATCAACCGCTTGTCAAACGTTGCGGAAAACGTATCTAGGATTTATATTTTATATTTATTCGAACTTAATATAGACTCCGTTGCAGTTCATAATGCACTGGTTCTCTGAGCCCTTCAGACCGAAACAAAATAGTGAAGGCATTGCCTGCTTAACTGCAGAAATAGGCAAAATCATGTTAAGAACCCAGACTGGCTCCAAGAGAGTAATTTTTAATTTACCACGAGTAACTGGGTGGAAAAAAACACCTTCAGGATGCCTAAATGATATATAATTAAAACAAATCGAATTCATATGAAATTTGTCAAGGCGTACTACACGGATATGTAAAGGCGATTATTGCACCAACTTTTAATGTTTTAATTCGTTAACATGCTAAAGCCATACTGCAGCTGTATTATGTTTATAATTGAATAGGTCGACTCGACTCTGGAAGAATTACACTCTCACAGAATACAGGCGTGAAATAGCAACTTAATAGCGCTGTGTTTCGTATGGCGAGTATAGAGAACTAGAGACGATTTTTACTAAAAACGTGCCATTTCATCTTAGGTCTAAGAGGTAACAACGCATACGCATTGTAATTCTTAATCATAGATAGATAGGGGCCTCAGTATTCACATCCCATGAGGTAACAGTTTGCTCGTTAATCACCCTTATTCTAAAAGTTAAGTTAAAAGTCACAGCCTATATACGTCCCAGTGCTGGGTACAGGCCGCCTGTCATTTCTGTGAGATTTTTATGTCAAGGAAATGTCCGCCGCGCTGCCCCAATGCGTGTTGGCGAACTTCACATATTTTCGAAATATTTTTTTTATTTCTCAGATATGCAAGTTTCCTCACGATGTTTTCCTTCACCACCAAGCACGTGGTAAATCAGCACTCAAAATTGCAATTAAACATTTCATTGGTGCTGGCGGGGATCGAACCCGGGGTGCTCGCATTTACAGCGAGCGCTAACCATCTAAGATACCACGACTCTCAACTTATTCTATAAGTTAACAATAATTTCAAATAAAATATACTATACCGGCATACATCGGGAAAGAGGTTAAAAGGTCATTCTGGCCTTTCCCACTTTCGTATCTAAGGAGATACAATGGAAGAAATGGGGTGACGTAAAATCATTTACTGTGTGTGCTTACACCTGTGGCGCTTTAGTACCTCCCCCTCAGTCTCTTTATTCAAACGGTATGTTTATTTATCGCTGTATAATATTTCTTTATTGATCTATCACTTTTTTGTTGTATGTGGTTTCTATTTTTGTAAACATACATTGGTAGATTCGACACGAAACCCTTTCTATAAAAGCAATGTTTAAAAATGCATAGGACTTATGATACAGCGTGTAAGTAGATACATTTTCCCGTGAGATGTAACAAGGCGTACTGCTTTAATATTCCTGTCACTGATGTAAAACAAGAAACCTATTTATTCAGCTTCGCTGCAAGAGATATTGAAAGATTAATAAGATCTTTTTTGCAGACAAATGGTCTAAGTGATTAATACAACTTTGAATTGTTTATATTTTAAGGCTGCTTAAGCAGCAGCATTAAGTTACTATTTCACGCTGGTATTCTGTGAGAATCACAAATGTCACATACTCGTATATTAGGCAAATGTATAAATTACTTTTATTCAATTATAATTAAACTCAAATTATTATTATTGAGTTACTATTAAATTAAAACTAATGTTATTAAATTATAATACTTTCACCTCTAGGTACTCTTTGACATTATAATAACATTTATAATCAGAAATTTGTAGAATATTGTCTTTGACATTGACATCATCTGGCAGTTTTTTGTGAATCAGTGATGCCATACAAAGAATTCTTTTATTGTATGTATCTCCATATGGTATTTCTATGTGTAATCTTTTTTGTCACATAATTGTCTATAGTATCTTTTAATAGCAGTCTTGTAAGAGTTTGGATTTGATTACACAAATAGATTTATTTCGTAGATATAAATCGAAAGTGTTTAAAGTATGGTTGACAGCTTGTAGTTATCGAGATTGCACATTGCTCTGATGCAATTATTCTGAGCTTTGAATGTAAATTCCTTATTTACCGAGTTGCCCCAAAATATATATGTTACTATAATATTTGTTTCCCCCGACAACGACCTTAAAATTCCGATATTGTCAAATTTTATCCAGATATTTTGGTCTTCCCAT